AAAGAGGTTTCTTCGCGTTTCGACTTTGTTCTGAAGCATCAATGGGATTATTTTACAATCTGTGATTTATTTCACCAACACAACAGTTTATCGATATTTTTAACCAATCACCAAATCATCATCCAGATTTATCGAAGAAGAAGCACACTACCAGAATGAAACGTCTGATTTCTTGACTACTTCGGTGAATCCTTTTGGGGTGATGAGAATCATCAAGTCAAAGTGGTGTGGACAACTTCATTGGAAAATGACGGAGGACAGAGCTTGTTTCGCTTGTGAAAATAGTTGCCCCAAGAAGCCTAACTGGATCACACAAAATACTATCGTGTAATTAGCTTTGGGCTAAAAGTTACTCAAATTCAATGCTTTTACTTGATTTTCTGGATAACGGTTTGTAATCAAAACGGGCTTGTAATTTGTCAACTAACTAATTATAGGCAAAAGTGCATGAAAGTTAATAATAATTTTGCACCATTAGACTCAAGAAACGCATTTAATTTCCCCTTTTCTCACCGTATAGAGCTCCCATGTACAGGACCACAACAGACAGTATATCCAGCACCACGCCGTCAGAACCGTGGAGTACGACCGTATCTGTGTCAGTCTCATCCACCAACCAACCGCCATTCGATCAACGACAGATTATGCAGCCGAATATGGTGAACAGTACAACCAGTGCGGTGCGCTCAGCGGACATGAAATGCCGGGAAGAACATCAGCTAATCGCACGTTATGCTGCTCAGCTAGCCGCTGCATCCGCCTTTAATTCGGAGTTTGAAGTAAGCCAGTGAAACCCCTGGACAACTGTGTTTACCATCATTAGTAGGTCGAATAATTGGTAGACAACAGTGATACTGCAAAATGATTCCTTATCTCAACATAATGGGCAAACCCTATTGGGAATTACTCCCTCGATATTCACTTGCATAACCACACTCTCCCTGGACTCGTCAGACTTTTAATCACAGAGAAATGACACTCCACCTCTTTGATTTTCAGCTTTCGATTTAGTCCCACCTCTGAGATAAACCAAGCTTAATCCAACCGGCCTGTTCAACAGGTCGCAGCAAAAGTTTCAAACATCAGGGAAGTACATGGTATCTGTTGTCTTGGGACAGATCTGAAATCCTTGTCCAGCCCACCAGCTACGATTTCCACTCCCACTCCCTTAATGCACAATGCTTCCCTTCATTGTTCTTTCACTTTCCCTTTATGCCATCTAAACCTAGTTTTTGTACTGTGGTCTATCATTATTTACTGGTGGCACGTAACTGATTTCCGTAACTCTTTGTATGCCCCCTCCCTCCAAAATAATAACGCTTTGTTTTGTTTACGAATATCTTCCGT